CTCCCACAGAAGACACAAAATATTACTGGGAATCCCTTTCCCCTAGCTCACAAGCAAGTTACTAATTCAACGCTGGTTCAATTAACAGTCTAATATCGAGACTGAAGCCTTAACCCTTTGGTCCTGCTCTAGCACAGCAAGAACTAACCTTCCTTTTTGCTCCTCTGGCCAAAGACTATTTTTAAAATGTCTGCTCTCCTGTTGGCAGTTAGCTCCGCTCCCTTTGGCTCCTGATCTCAGCTAAACTGGATACATTTCTACAGCAAATTGGTTGCTACGGCAACACATCAACACAGCAGCTGCAGCTTAAGCAGACCTGTGCTTACAATATACTAACCTCAATAAACGTATTCAAAACCCATATTATAATTAGATATTTCGTTGCACCTTATACGTGAAAGACCTATGGTCTAAGCCAGGGGTCCCCAAACTAAGGCCCGGGGGCCGGATACGGCCCTCCAAGGTCATTTACCCGGCCCTGGCTCAGGGTCAGCCTAAGTCTGAAATGACTTGAAAGCACACAACAACAACAACAACAACAACAACCCTATCTCATCAGCCAAAAGCAGGCCCACACTTCCCATTGAAATACTAATAAGTTTATATTTGTTAAAATTGTTCCTCTTTTAATGGTTGTATTGTTTTAAAGTGTTTTTTTTTTTTGCACTACAAATAAGATATGTGCAGTGTGCATAGAAAATCATTCATGGTTTTTTTTTCCAAATTATAATCCGGCCCTCCAACAGTTTGAGAGACTGTGACTTGGCCCTTTGTTTAAAAAGTTTGAGGACCCCTGGTCTAAGCATTGAATAAAACTAAACATTAAATCCTATACATGATGGCTGATCTTAATGCTGGCAATAATTTAAATTGGAAATTGTTTTAGCTCCAGTATGTGATTCTTTCTTCGTTGTATTCTAGAATTATTTTTAAAGGTTATATTAATTTAGAATGCTGTCTCTACTGAAGGTTGTCAGGGTTTATGTTATCTGAACGAAAAGATTCAGAATAAGTTTCTATCTTGCTTTAATAATGTATATATGCCATTGGTATTGTGTACTTAAAACTACCATCTTGTTTTCAATGTTAGTTTATTCACGGTGGCCACACTGCCAAGATCTCTGATTTCTCCTGGAATCCCAATGAGCCCTGGGTAATTTGTTCTGTATCAGAAGATAATATCATGCAGGTCTGGCAAATGGTAAGTATCTCATTGATTATTATTCTTGGGGAATTGGGAGTCTAAAACAGTGTGGTCTGCCAGGGTCTGAAACTGTGCTTGCAACAAGAAGTATTTGGATAGAATAACAACTCAATACATTGTTGCTGGATGCTGTGCTTGTTAGTATTATTTTTCAGTGTCCTTTTGATCTACTATTTTGCCATCCAAGTAATACTCCTAACTCCCTGTTCCTTTCACTCTGTAGGCAGAGAACATTTATAACGACGAAGATCCCGAAGGCAATGTGGATCCAGAAGGCCAGGGGTCCTAGGTATTAGGCCCGGTTCCTGCCTTGTTTTTCCCTCCTCTGTTGTTTTTCTCCCTGCCTTGTTTTCTCTGCTTTCCCAAGATTGTCAATACTGCTGTTTTTGAAGACACACACTCACACACACACTGTATGCAAACAATCCATTTGTAGATACTGCCCATCGATTTTGCTTCTAACACAGAACTTGAACTGTTGCCAGTTGAAAATTGATAAGCGGAACCATCATGGCACCAGTGGCTTCATAGTTGACCACTTTTCCCCTTTATGGTATTTGGTGAATCGGATCTGCTGCCTCTCCGTTGAGATGTGATGTTTACTTTTTACATTTTTAATGCAAATAGTGCCCAAGTTGCAGTTCAAATGTTGGTAAGATCTGAACGTTTTTTTCTCAGAGGGAATATTTCAGCGTGGAGAAGATTCTTTTATTTTATTAATATGTGATATTTTTGGTCCCTCTGATTAAGGTCGTGTGCAGGGCTCTTGCTCTCTCTAGTCTTGTAGTCCTGACATGCAGTTTGGGGGGGTGGTCAGCTGATTGTCTATTTGTGGCTGCGATTCCATTGGTCTAGATAATTTCTCCATAACCTGTTGAACCTTCCATCTTTTCTCGATGGGTAGATAAGAGAGTGGATATGGCTAGGATCCAGATATGATTGAGGTGCCTAAACCTGCACATAGCTTTCTTCTTGTGTGTTTCTTGATCTGTGTTATCCTATTACCTTTCGTTTCTGTGAATTACTTTTTTGCATTTAAACTTGGGGGACCACCAAGTTGTAAAAGGTGTTTTGTTTTCAACTGAATGATAGACCACAGATGGCATGACCAGCTCCCTAGGAACATCCTAAGCTGTTGATGCACATAGTAAGGAGTACTGTGTGCGGATAATGTACTCTTTTCCCCTTGTATCAATACATCTCTTGTGTGGGTGAACTATTGCACCAGCAGCCCATTTATCTTTTCATGGACCTGTGCAAGTGCTTCGGATAAAATAAATTTGGTTTTCTATGTAGAATGTGGTTGACTCTTTTTTTAAAAAACAAAACAAAAAACCTAAAAATATTTTGGGTAATTGTAGGGAACTGTTTTAACTGTATGAGTTTCCATGGCAATGTTTTTCAACCTTCCTAATGCCGTAACCCCTAAATACAGTTCCTCATGTTGGCATGACTCCCAAACATAAAATTATTTTTGTTGCCACTTCAAAGCTGTAATTTTGCTAGTGTTATGAATTGTAATGTAACTATCTGATAAACAGGATGCATTTTCATTCACTGGACCAAATTTGGCACAAATACTCAATATGCCCAAATTTGAATACTGGTGGTGTTGGGGGGGATTGAACATTCTGAACTTGACCAACGATGGAATTGAACCAAACTTGGCACACAGAATTCCCATAACCAAGAGAAAATACTGGAAGGATTTGGTGGGCATTGACCTTGAGTTGTGGAGTTGTAGTTCACCTACATCCAGAGAGCACTGTGGACTCGAACAATGATGGATCTGGACCAAACTTGGCACAAATACTCAATATGCCCACATCTGAACACTTGTGGAGTTTGGGGAAAAGAGCGTTCTGAACCCCACAAATGACAGAATTGGGCCAAACTTCCCACACAGAACCCCCATGATCAACAGATAATACTCTTGTTGAAGGCTTTCATGGCTGGAATCACTAGGTTCTTGTGGGTTTTTTCGGGCTATATGGCCATGTTCTAGAGGCATTTCTCCTGATGTTTCGCCTGCGTCTATGGCAAGCATCCTCAGAGGTGAGGTCTGAGGATGCTTGCCATAGATGCAGGCGAAACGTCAGGAGAAATGCCTATAGAACATGGCCATATAGCCTGAAAAAACCCACAAGAACCTAGAAAATACTCTGTTTTCTGATGGTCTTAGGCGACTCTCTCACAGCCCTTCACGACCCCCCTAGGGGTCCAGACCCCCAGGTTGGGAAACGCTACTGTATGACGAGTAAGGCATGATATAAAAGTTAATAATAATTTAATAAAAAGTACAGCTATGTGACGAAGGACACTGGAATATTATGAAGGAACAGTCTTATAATGTGCAGAAAGCCTTTACCTGGGATGTATGATTTGTCCTTCGTTTGATATTGAGAGGGAAGAAACCCCAAAAGCCATGCAGAAAGTGGCACATTAAAGTCAAATGCCAATGTTCTCTTGAGATCTATATGAAGAGCTACATTTTGCAAGATTTACGTCAAGTTATGGTCTAAAGGAGCTATCTGCAAAGGGCCAGAAACACAAAATAGGAAGTTTTTTCATCATTTGTTTTAAAACACATTGCCCAAACACGAATCAAGGAACATGAAAGACACTGCAGACTAAGTCAACCAGAGAAGTCAGCCATAGCAGAGCATCTGATGAACCAACCAGGACACCGCATATTTGAGAACACAGAAAAGCTGGACCACTCTAACAGCCACCATGTCAGACTGCAAAGAGAAGCCATTGAGCTCCACAAGCATGTGGACAGAAAGGAGGAACCTATGAAAACGAACAAAATTTATTTATTTACTTTATTTATATACCGCTTTTCTCAGCCCTCAGGCGACTCAAATCCGGCTACTAAACTAAATAAACTAAAATCTGGACAGTAAAGAGCAACACTCAAAAAGCAGGGGGATTCTAGACAAGAATCAGTCGGGCCCAGCTAAAATCTCCCAACAAAGGATTCCCTGAGGCAGCAATCAGACAGGCTTTGAAGCTGCAAGGCCATTAAATGCTAATCAAGGTGGCCAATTGTAACATTCACACCTCAAGCAGACGAGTTCTTTCTCCCACCCTGCACATTCCACAGATGTATAAACCTCCCTTGCTTAGTTTCCAACAGACCTCACAACCGAGGATGCCTGCCATAGATTTGGGCAAAACGTCAGGAGAGAATGCTTCTGGAACATGGCCACATAACCAGGAAATCTCACAGTAATCCAGCGATTCCGGCCATGAAAGCCTTCGAAAACACTTTGTTTCAGTATTTGCATTTCTTAGCTTCATTAGATTCTGACTCGCGTAGTTTTTTTTATAGAATAGGCAACTTCATTATTGTACATTGTACAACAAAATTTTGGGCAGTGCTGATTTGTCAGCTCATTTCAGTTAGAACTACATCCCTAGAAAGTGTGTTTGTGTGAGCTGCTTGTGTCCATTGGTTGTTGCCAGCAACATTTTAACCACTAATGGTTTTGTTTTGCATTGTTTCTATGCCGGGATAGAAAACACTGAGCCTCATATTTTGTTTTGCAGTCCCCTGAAGCTCAATGCTTTCCTTTTTGGGGCAACAATTGACAGAAAGACCAAAACCTGTCCAGATTAGTTCAGAGGGAGTTTCCCCTTTTCTTCCTCTGAGGCTGAGAGTGTGTGCCTTGCCCCATTGGGTTTCCATGGGCAAGCAGGGGTTTGAACCCTGGACTCCAGAGCCATAGTCCAACACTCAATCTGGCTCTGCTTCTACATTACCATCAACACAAAAGCAGTTACTCATTGAAAGGTTGTTTTAAAAGACTTGTTTATAAAAAACATTTAATTCTATTTCAGTGTCTTGTTCCATAACAGGTTCCAATTACAAGCAGATGGCTTGAAGGACAAAAATAAAGCAATGTTGGCAAACATGCCAACATGTTGGGCATAGACAGTATTTTCAATATGGAGCTATCCCTGAGGCCAGGCCTGAATCCTGTTGGTTAATCCCAATGAAAACACACCCATTAGATCAAATAGTAAACATGACTCAATTGCATCGATTTGGTGGGTCTAGTTTGAACTAAGTAGGATTTAGGCCCATATTTTCTTATCATGGAGTTCTGCATAATACATATCTTGACATGACCTCTATCCAGCGTAGCTCCAAAAACGAGAAGATCACTCACAACTCCTTGTTGTATAAAATGATGGAATCCATCATAGTTGGATTTCTTGCCCATTGGCTACTACTTAGTAGTCAGGAGACTGCAATAGTAAATAAGACTATCCAGGCTTGTGAGTTCATGATTCAGTCTTGTCCTCCTTTAGCTTCGGACTTGCACAGTTGTCCATAGATTTCTAAGCAGTCCCTGCGAGGATGGAAACGGGATTATCAAGACATTTTCATAAGCAAATGCATCTTGCGAAGAGTAGCCAGGAGAAACATTAGAAGGGACCCCTTCTGAAGAACGATGCCTTATATTTAGACCATTGTTTCTCAACCTTTCTAATGCCGCAACCCCCTAATACAGTTCCTCATGATGTGGTGTCCCACAACCATAACATTATTTTGTTGCTACTTCATAACTGTAATTTTGCTATTGTTATGAAGCATAATGTAAATATCTGATATGCAGGATGTATTTTCATTCAATGGGCCAAATTTGGCACAAATACCCAACACATCCAAATTTGAATACTGGTGGGGGGTTTTTTTTGGGGGGGGGTTGATTTTGTCATTTGAGAGTTGTAGTTGTTGGGATTTATAGTTACCCTGCAATCAAAACTCAAACAACGATGGATCTGGACCAAACTTAGCACAAATACTCAATATGCCCAAATGTGTACACTGGTGGAGTTTGGGGAAAATAGACCTTGATATTTGGGAGTTGTGGTTGTTGGGATTTATAGTTCACCTATAATCAGAGCATTCTGAATTCCACCGACGATGGAATTGAACCAAACTTGGTACACAGAACTCCCACGACCAACAGAAAATAGTGGAAGGGTTTGGTTAGCATTGGCCTTGAGGTTTGGAGTTGTAGTTCACCTACATTCAGAAAGCAATGTGGACTCAAACAGTGATGGATCTGGAGCAAACTTAGCGTGAATACTCAACATGCCTAAATGTGAACACTGGTGCAGTTTTGGGGAAATCGACCTTGACTTTTGGGAGTTGTAGTTGCTGGGATTTATAGTTCACTTACAATCAAGGAGCTTTTGGAACCCCACCAACAATAGAATTGGGCCAACCTTCCCACACAGAACCCCCATAAGCAACGGAAAATACTGTGTATTCTGATGGTCTTTGGCAACCCCTTTGACACCCCCTTGTGATCCCTCCCCCAGAGGTCCCGACCTCCAGGTTAAGAAATGCTGGGTTAGGAGAACCGGTTATGATCCCACTTTCCACTTTACATGGAAGGACAAGGATTGGTGTTGCAGTAGCTGCTTGACAAGTCTCTACAGTGAGAATGTGTCACTTGCTCCTCTCTTTCACTAATTAAACAAATGGTCACATCCCGATTTTATTAGGTATGAAACAAAAAAGCTAAACCTACTTGTAAATGGATAGCTCCTGGTGTAAACTGGCCCTCAGCTCTTCCAATTCTTGGTTTTTTCGCTGCTGGAGCTGCACTTCGTTTTTGAGTTCTCTCAGCCTTTCTTCCATCTCCTCGACTTGCTCCTGTAGGGAGAAAAGCAGCAGAATTAGACAAGTTTAACTGTAATCATGACTTTTTGTGACCATTATGCAAAAACCCTCAACTAAATGGTAACCTCAGCATGAAAATATATTCAAATCGATTGTGCTTGCCTAAGCAGGGTGTGCCAGCTCTCAATTGCAAAATGGTGTTTGATGACGCAACCATAGAGTTGGAGCTGAAGGAGCAATGAATCTTCTGCAAACTTACTGGCATTGAGGAATCTTACAGGAACTGACAGAGCCTTGTAAAGAAGACTGTTGGGTTTGCTGTCTGTGTTTTTTTGCTGAACTGAAGTGATAGACTTGGAGAAAATGTAATTTTAAGACCACTATTAGGCCTCAAAGAAAAGGCTGACATAGGATAAGTTCAGTTCATCCTGAGTGCAAGATAGACTCTTGGTATTTGATCCCAAAAGCACAGGATCCCTTTTGATCTTGGAAGCTAAGCAAAGGCAGCAATGATATGTACTTGGATGAGAGCTTGCCAGTAGCATATACATACATACATACATACATACATACATACATACATACATGTGTATAATAAATTCATTTGTTATCCGCCTCCCCTAACATGATCTGTAAGTACGATCTGGACTTAGTCACTTTTCCTGAAATGCTAAAACCCCCAAAGCAGGTGAAAAGGGAACTTTTTGGACTATTATTCCCAGAATCCACCAGTCAAGAGATTCTGGGAGTGGCAGTCCAAAATGAGGAGCCTTCCCCAAGCTCAGGAGGACTGCGAAAACTAGCAAAGCCACCTCTGAGTCTTCCTTGGCTAAGAAATCCTTTTGAAATTCATGGAAGGTCCATAAGTCAAAATGTGACTTGAAGGCATACACACAAGAAGCAGGTCCATAGCACTTTCTGTAGTTAGAGCAACTTCAAACGGTTCCATATCTGACCATGTGAATTATCGGATATACTCAAGAATAAGCTGAGTTTTTCAGCTCTTTTATTAGGATGAAAAAGCCCTCTTTGGCTTATACTCGAGTCAAGGTTATTTATTATTTTACTCTATTATTATTATTATTATTATTATTATTATTATTACATTTTTTATTTTACTCTATTATTATTGTTACAATTATTATTTTACTCTATTATTGTTATTACATTTACATTATTTTACTTTATTATTATTATTATTTTATTACATTTATTATTTTTCTCCATTAATGTTACTATTACATTGATTATTGATTATTGGTTATTATTACATTTATTTTACTGTTATTATTACATTTATTTTACTTTATTATTCTTACATTTATTATTTTACTCTATTTGATACTATTATTACATTTATTATTTTACTCTATTATTGCTATTATTACATTTACATTATTTTACTTTATTATTTTTATTTTATTATTTTTTTACTTTGGGTCGCGACAATTTATTTTTCCCCATCAATGTTATTATTGCATTGATTATTGATTATTGTTATTACATTTATTTTACTGTTATTATTACATTTATTTTACTTTACTATTATTACATTTATTATTTTACCCTATTATTATTGCTATTATTACATTTACATTATTTTACTTTATTATTATTATTTTATTACATGTATTATTTTACTCTATTATTATTGGAAGGATACGTAAGCACATTTACATTGAAGAAGGTCAGAATAATGGTTTAATCAGAGTGGGACAGTCTTATCTGAAATACAGTTTTATGTAAATATTCAAAAACATTTAACCGACTCATGCCTCAATTAATAATAATAATAATAATAATAATAATAATAATAATAATAATAATCTTTATTTATACCCCGCTACCATCTCCCAAGGGACTCGGCACAGCTTACATGAGGCAAAGCCCACAATACATCAATACAAGCAATAACAATTACAATACGAAGCAAAATACAAATACTAATACGAAGCAATTAAAATAAATCTCATACACAAGTAGCATAACATTGAACAGTGGCAACAAAACACATTTAAAAACTATGGCTGGGCCAAATGTAATTAAGTTTAAAAATAATGCTGGGCATGAACAAGATAGGGGAGGTGGGGCATTGGGGGAACATACAAGCAGTCCTAAATCAGTATATAGTGCTTTTGGAGGACATCATCATAATCATCATCATCATTTAATAACTTATTAATTGCCCTCCATCTGAGAATGCTCTAGGCGATTTACAGCTAAATTATAAAAGATAAAATACATACATACAAAAATTAAAAATCAACAGAGATCGAATGCTCTAGTAAAAAGCCAGGTCTTAAGTGCGAGAGTAAAAGGCCCTAAGTCACGCATGGCTCTCATGTAGGGCAGCAAGGAATTCCACAAGGCAGGGGCAGAAATAGAAAAAGCCCATCTGCGCCTGGTCCTTTCCAAGTGCACTTCTCTAGGACCCGGTATATGGAGTAAGTCACGCTGGGCTGGTCGTTGCGACCTCCGATGATGGGAGAAGGAGAGGCGGTCCCTAAGGTACGATGGACCCTGGCCGTAAAGAGTTTTAAAGGTCAGAACTAGCATCTTATACAGGCCACGGTACTCAATTGGAAGCCAATGTAAATGTTGCAGCACTGGTGTTATATGGCATTTCATGGGCGTTCTTGTGAGTAACCTGGCTGCCGCATTCTGAACAATACGAAGCTTTCGGGTCGTAGACATTGGAAGGCCCACATACAGGGCGTTGCAATAGTCCAGCCTAGACGTGACCGTGGCATGGATGACAGTTGCCAGAGCCTCATCAGATAGGTAGGGTGCCAGTTGCCTCGCTTGTCGTAGATGGAAAAAGGCCTGTTTGCTGGCAGCAGTGACCTGAGCTTCCATTGTCAGCTGTGAATCCAGGATGACACCTAAGTTCTTAACAATGGTCGATGGAGATAGGGCGGCACCATCGAAGGTGAGTAATGGAGGATTCAGACCTGCCGGGCGGCCATGCCAGAGAATCTCAGTCTTCGCCGGGTTCACCTTCAGTCTGCCTGCATGTAGCCAGTTTGACAGAGCTTCCAGACATAGGGTGAAATTGTCTGGAATTGACGTTGCTCCAGGCTCCACATGCAGAAGGAGTTGGGTATCGTCTGCATATTGGTAGCAGTCCAGGCCGAAACTCCGAGCCAAACTAGCAAGAGGTCTAACGTAGATGTTGAAGAGAAGAGGAGAATTGCACCTTGGGGGACCCCACATAGGAGGGGGGATCTATCGGAGACTTGATCCATGTACTCCACGCGTTGACTCCGGTTCCAGAGAAATGAGTTGAATCAATTGAGGGCCTGACCACGAACTCCGGACATGGACATAATGCTAAGGGTTCATTATTCTGGGAAGGCATACTGGAACAACCACGTCTTCAAACTCCTCCTAAAGACTGCCAGAGTTGGGGCATGCCTGATATCCATAGGAAGTGAGTTCCAGAGTCGAGGGGCCACCACCGAGAAGGCCTTCTCTCTCGTCCCCACCAATCGCGCTTGTGATGCAGGTGGGAGCGCAAGTAGGGCCTCTCCAAATGATCGAAGAGATCGTGTGGGTTCGTACACAGAAATGCGGTCACGCAGGTAGGCGGGTCCCAAACCATTCAGGGCTTTGTAGGTAAGAACCTGCACCTTGAATTGGGTCTGGAAAATGAATGGCAGCTAGTGGAACTCCTTGAACAGGAGGGATGACCGCTCCCTGTAAGGAGCCCCAGTTAACAACCTGGCTGCCGCCCATTGGACCAACTGAAATTTCCGAGCTGTCTTCAAAGGCAGCCCCACGTAGAGTGCATTGCAGTAGTCCAATCTGGAGGTGACTAAGGCATGGACCACTCTGGCCAGATCATTTTATTGGTCTCTAATTTTATTTTGAAATTTACCAGTTAGCTGCTATATTTCCCAGCATAGGCTTATACTCAAGTCAATACATTTTCTCAGGGTTTTTTTTGCTAAAATTACGTGCCTCGGCTTATATTCGGGTCGGGTCAGTATATACGGATACTGTATTTTTCGTCTGATAAGCTTTGCTGAATAAAAGATCCTGGAAAAGTCCTCAGTGCTTGCATTTTGAAGCTACTTGCAGGGCTGATTTCCTGGTTTGCATCAATCTCTTTAAAACAAAGATAAGTGTCCCGTCCTTTACTGCTTAAATAACAGGCTGTGACAACTGAGATGCCTGGGAGTCATGATGGTAACTTGACACATGTCCCATCCAGAGGCCATTTCCTTAGTGTTCAGGTCTTGTAGGACTCTGGTGCTGGAAAGGGCCCTGGCACGAATCGAATCGCGGAGTGTGCTGACCTTTCAGATGATGTTAACGCAAGGTCCAGGGATGCCTTTGGGGATTCTTCCGGGCTCCATGTGCAACGAACCAGAGCAAGGCCATGGGCAAATGTTTATTGGTTGCCTTTGCACAAAAATAGGCCTCTATTTGTGTGGGTTCCAGAAAGGATCTCATCACATGGTTGGAAGCAAAGCTCAGTTGAGAGGTAAATAGAAAAAAGCAGAAGACTATTTTTGTGCAGGGCAAGAAAGAGCTGGATGGCGAAGGGAACAACAGGGTTTATGGACTGAATAGGAAAAGAAATATTAGTGGAGGAGATTGAAGGTAGCATGTCCTTCCAATTGTAATGGTTTCAATTTATTTGTCGTGTCAGGGCACCCAGTCAATTATATTACATTTCTAACAGAACAAAGCAAACAAACAGACAAAATACAAAAATTGTGAGTCTGGTAGTTGATTAAATGTCCTTTGACCGGTATCTGGCCACTTGGAGTGCTTCTGGTGTTGTTGCAAGAAGGTCCTCCATTGTGCATGTGGCAGGGCTCAGGGTGCATCGCAGCAGGTGGTCAGTGGTTTGCTCCTCTCCACACTCGCATGTTGAGGATTCCACTTTGTAGCCTCATTTCTGAAGGTTTGCATCTTGTGGTGCCCGAGCGCAGTCTGTTCAGCGCCTTCCAAGTCGCCCAGTCTTCTGTGTGCCCAGGGGGGAGTCTCTCATTTGGTATCAGCCATTGGTTGAGGTTCTGGGTTTG